AAGATGAAGTGATTTTATAGAAGAGAATAAACAGACCTCGTTCACTTGGGCACAGTTAGTAATACGCTTGGCTCTACTAGCAAACTGGAGAGTGCCCTTTGTTTCCTCAATGTGGACCTAAACACATCTTAGAATGTCAGTACTAAACAAGACTTCTCCAGGGAGAATAACATCTCCCTTCTCTAGTACTGGAAGGAAGGACAGCATAGGCAAATCAGCAGGTTACCTCTTCTGGTGCTAGAGTGCATATAATTGAAGTTTTGGCATTACCACCGAGAGCAGATTGAAGTATACGGGTTAGCTTACTATCACGATAAGGAATATGCCCCCTGTATCAAATACCAATAACTCATTTCATTATGTCATAGTTATATTATATAAAAAGGTGTTTCCTGCTTTGTAGAATGGAACTACCTTTGTTTTGCACCATCACTTAATTTGTTAATTACATTTCCGAGAACCATTAAGCTCTTGTTAATGTACTTTCCTTCCTTCAACCGTACTCCACCTGCTCCAGTTTTAGCAATCCGCTCAGAACCAGCTAAATCTACCAAGTTCTGTTTCCCAATGAAGACAATAAAAAAATCATGCAAAAATTAGCAAAAGAAGATGTTAAATAATTTGGATACTCTAGGGAAACCAAAAAATCAAATGCAACTATGGACAAAATATTTGACATCATGTTTCTATGATGTCTATATATTTTATATAACATCATGGTGAGGATACAAACCAGGACTGAAACACGGACGGCATCACTGCCTGAATAACCATTAGATGAGTTGGTATCCTTTCCCCTGCTTTCAATTACCTAGCATGCAGGATAAATATCATGAATTCTGAAGGTAAGTGTTTAGCAAATGAAAATTGTGAGCTCATGTCCACCAGTGTTTAAAGAGCTTACCATCCTAAATATTGTATGGGATCTACTACTTCGAACATTCATGTTTGTCTCACCAAAGTGCCTATTGACTGCAAGAGCCAAAAAAAACAGAAGTCGATATAATATACTGATGTTAAACTAAAGGAACTTATAAAGTGCAAGCGAAATTGTTTATGTTTGTTTGATACCTTCTCCAGACTCTTTAAGGTGAAGAACCTGTTCAGCATTGTTTACAATTTCTTCCTTGAGTCCCGCAACGAATATGCCACGCTGAAAAGGAATAGCTATCAGTGGTTTTATACTTTTATTAGATAAACCATTGAGAGAGTATCAAAGTTTAGTCAACAACCAACCTCCAAACTCTCATGGATCTGCAATTTCTGATTCTCCAGGCTCAAAAGGTCATTAATTTCTTCATTGTAAATTTCCATGTAGGAAACTCGAATGAGAAACTCTCGGTCAGACATCTGGTGTATTTAACATGAAAAATGGAAGTCAGAGCAACAATGCTACGATATAAGAACATGTGCATAAATTTTAAAGAGACCATACTGATGCTTACGGCTTGTATTTTCTCAAATATATCTTCCACTGCACGATGAATAATTCCCGGGTCATTTGCAGAACCATTCATGGTGAATGTCTTTCCACTGCTGGTCTGTCCATACGCAAATGCAGTTCCTGCAACATTTCCATGTCAGTTGTCACCCCTCCAAATCAAACCACAATCAAGCACGAAAGTCACTACACAAATGATATTCTTCTTTTTCATGAGATTAAATCAATCAGTTCTCGCACCCAAACTAGCAAGTCTTCCAACAAAGTCGAAAAAATCCAAGCAAAAGGAAAACATTTTAAGGTTACGAAATTCAAATCAAACATTTTAATTTCTCAGATTTCTCAGAAACAAAACAGCCTGTAATGCTTTCCCAGATCCAAACAAAATACAAAGAGAACCTAAAGGCTTAAAGCAAAAGCTTGGTGATTGAACAAATTTGGACGATTTGGGGGAGAGAAGAATACCATTGAACCCTTTCACCGCGGCATGAATTAAATCCCTGGTAAGAAGCTCGTAAACTTGAGCATTTGAGCAGGTTTCATCGAACACATGATCTGCAAACGCGAAAACAAAAAGGAAAAACCTAAGTGAACAAAATCCACACTGATGACATGCTAAATCGAAGATGAAATCGAAATGAAGATCCAAGTTTTTACCAAAAGCGTAAGAGGCGCCGGAGATGGGAGTGCCGTGTGGCCTGTGGAGGGAGATGCGGTTGTCCTCGACGTTCCAGTAGGTTGCGACGGAGGCATCTTGGGAGACCGGCGGTCTCACTCTCACAGCAACGCAGATCTTCTCCATTTCTCAGTTCCGCTGTGTGTGTGTGTGTGTCTGAGTGTATGTTTGAACTTTGAATTGAAATGTTTGGAGTTGGACGGTGTAGGCGGGCGAGCGAGGGCGTTGTTTTAAATGTTATTTTCGATTGACGGGAATGCCCTCAATATGGAACTTCGGGACATTTATTGTAGCCCATATAAGAAGTCTAGGCCCAGGATTATTGGGCCGTGATATACATGTTAGGCTATAAGGGATTATGGGCTTTTGTCTTCTCTGTTTTTTTTTTTTTTCTTTTTAACAATTTACAATTTGAGGATGAAATGATTTAAATCTCGACTTCAAATATACCTTATTATAGGGGTTGGAGCCATCAAGCCACAAGACCTAAGTGTGTCTTCTCTGCTTTTTTGTTATAATGAAATCTGCTTATTACATAATTTGATTGTGATACATGTGAAATGATGATTTTATAATATACGAGTTTATATGTATAATCAATTAAAATAAAAATCTCCCAAGATTTTTGAAAATGCTTTTTCACAAATATATCACATTATTAATTTCTTTTTCTTCCTTCTCTACTAATTTTCAAAAACTTACTAATTAAAAAGAGAAGATGAAAGAAATATATAATTAAAATTGTCTAAAATTAGATTAGTCTTGAGATGTATTAAAGCTTTTAACTCAAGAAAAAAAAAGACATATTACCAAAAATATTTCATAAAACTTGGATCAGTAGAAATGTACTTCATAAAGCTACTACTAAACCTCAACCATATATCCATATATATATAGCTATAGTCTAAAATTCCAGCAAATAAAACAGGCTAAAAAGTCTTCGCATTCTGCTACCCATCTGTGTCTCTTTGGTCTAATATATATGCAGAAAATGTAGGCATGGAACCCTAATTGTTCATATTGATCACTAATCAGGACTATGTTAGGATAGTTTAAACTTGATCATTAAGGTTACTAACTGTCATTAGTGGCGGCTAAACAAAGATCCGAAAGCCTGGCGGAGAGAGCTGTGGATTCTGATATTAACAGATCGTTTTCTCTGCATACCGCCTGCCATTTGTTAGTAACAGAACCCAACTCCTCCTTCAACTCCAGGTTCTCTACACTCAACCGCTTCGCTTCGCTTCGTCCGCCAAACTCTCCAAATGCTTCTTCTTCCTCCAAGGGGCCTTTCTGGCGGTGTCCTGGTTCGATGTACCTTTTGACGTTCTCAACGACTGCCCCATTTTCGCTAGTTTGGAAAGAAGAAATAAAAAAGGAGGGGGTCAAATTAAAAGCAATCCTTGACTTGGAAGAACTATATATTTTAAATGGAGAACCAAATTAGAATTTGAAGTCAGTGAGAGAATTATCCCATGTCAATATGTTATATAGTTTATTATCAAATATATTTTTAAAAAAAAGGGAAAATGTTTTGAATGGGGGAAAAAGAACCATTATACACTAAATCTTGCAACAATGAAAGTAAAGTAAAGATATAATCGTGTATATACAGGATAGAATTTTACAATATTTTCATGAAACACCTCTAAAACACTTAAATCCCAAACCGAAATGCAGAGGGCGGATGGAATTTCCATGAAGTTTAATACAATCAACTTCGACGATGAGGCATCTCGGGTGGTAATTTTCAACACAACACGACTTTTGAGAACGCATTTCTTGAATGTTTCGTCTCTTGCAGGAAGAGACTCCTTGTAAGTTGTGCAAACTGTGGTAGGTAATACAAGATGTTTATAAGTCAACTGGTGGGCTTCCCTGAGAATGGCAATAAGAAGAAAAGTTAACGGATCCATTTGCATTTTGCATGAGAAGAATAACGAGCGAAAGCAGTTTAAGCACCCCCCCATCTGATCCCATATGGAAAGAAGTTTTCAGTAGCTAATATCTTTGGTTTTTGAAGCAGATTGTCACTGAGGAAATCAATACTACCATTTCAAACAGAGGCAAAATCGAAATATAAAGCCACATAATCATCAGCAATAGTGACTTCAAACATGTATTAGCAGGACGTAAAAGCAATTCTTCCAAACAGGCATACCCAAAAGACCTCTGTCATAGTTAAGCAGTGATCTTACCTTGAACAAAAGATCATAAGCAATGTGTTCCCAAGGCAATGTTATAGACATTAAACAGCATTTAAGAGGCAAGATTTTGTCATCAGAATCTGTGTTGGCAGCAGCTGCATAGCCCTGCTTTGCTGCCAGCGACGCAAAAGATGCAGCTTTACGGAAAAATGAGCCAATTCCAGATCCCTTCTTTGTTATAACTGGTGAATAGGGGTCTGCATCCTGCTGGCTTTGATCTATGGATTAGCATCTAGATTCAGTGTTTGACTTAATGTTTGCATGCATGATTACAAATAACATTCATACGATGGGGGCAAGGAGGGTAAAGAAGAAAGCTAATACTATCAAGGAAATAAGAAACTCAACCTGACTTTGCTACGTCCTAATTTACCCTTAGACTATTGGGGCTGGTAAGATTTCCCAACTATATCTTATTTGGTCCATTAATTCTTTACTACTCAAATAAATATACTCATACTCAAGCAGCTATGGGTTTACTTTGTACGTGGCTGAACCATCTAAGTCATCATTCACTTAATTTTCTGCTAACTGGTTCTATATAAACCTTCTCATGGATAACATCATTCATTTCGTCATGGCTTTTCTTGTGCGATCAAACATTCATCTTGACATTATCATTTCATCTAAAGTTCATTAAGAAGAAAAACAATTTTTATTATTACCTGAAACACCAGATACAGCCACTTCAACTTCTCCACGTCCTCCAGGACCTTTCATGTAAAGCCTGTCTGTTTTGCGAGGGGAATTCCCTAGTAACAAAAGGCTTCCAAGCCGAGACCTCCCAGCTGAAAGAAGGTAGAAAGAGGGATGAGACTAGGAGAAACTGCTTACAGTTTAAGCTTAGAGGTCAAATTTGTTTACATATGAAGTCATCAAAACTTAGTGTATTAATTTGTTCTGTGGAGATGTGAATATTTGTTCAGACAACAGAATTGAATTTTATTTCACAGAGCCATGCTTACACATAGCTCATTGCAAAATCTCAATCAATTTGTGCGTCAACATGTACTAAGACTTCCAAGTCTTACATAATTTATCAGCCATTGACTTCACACAAATCCAATGGCTGAGCTGATAGTGATATCTTTAGTAATATATTTATCAACTTAGCAATACAGGACCATCACCTCAGTCATTGAATTTCTGAAATCAATAGCTGGCAATTATGTAGGGCTTAGAAGTCTTACACTTATGTAAAGGGATCCTATCACGCACACACACAGGCACACACATGAACATTCTTCTGACAAATTTTAGGAAAGATATACCATCATATGCATCTCGAACCATTTGATAGCTGACAAATCCCGAGAAAATTGTGAGCTGCAAGTACAAAAAATACCACCAAGTCAAGTTGATCATCCATTAATGCTGCAAATATGTGTTGCCTAGTAGCATTTACAGGTATTAAACAAAAAAGGCAGAATCTCAATTTGTTCTACAGTTATTCCAAAAATGAAAGACCAATGAAAGAAGTGAACAAATCTTTTTCTACACATTTTCTATCCATCTTGAGAAAAAAAATACAAAACAGGCAAAGGAGAAAAACTGCTTAAAATATTTTGCCATCATTCTTTTCATCAGCATAAACTTGTTCAATAAGATTGACCTAATATTACCATCCAGAATACTGCAGTTCTCTCGTTCTTAGGATTAGTACTTATGGCTTGGTTAATTAACTTCATGACGACATGCTATAACAATATACATTATGGTCCAATTCCTCAGTCAAGCCTTTAAAAAATGGCAAATTTTAGTAACTCACTTAACAAGCCAGGAATAGCTAAGGCCAAAAGGGAAGAATAGATATTACCACCTCCTCCTTAAGGAATATATATTCTTTGATTTTTCTGTAATCTAAAAGAAAATTATCAATCTTAGGAATAGGTCTTCCTAGCGTTGTAAGTGAGTTTCTTAATTTTGTCTAATTTTTATGGTTTGAATAAGGCACAAAGACATCCAAATATTCCATAATAAGATTTCATTTGGTTTTAAAGGAATTTCTGTCACAAGCAAGATAAAAACCACAACTTTAGGATGTTTCAGAATTTATTGATAGGAATTTAGGAAAGGGTGAAGGGTTGGTTTATAAGCACCTCTAGGGACAAAGCTGCCTCTGTATTGAAATGAAAATCTACTGCCCTGATCTTATGAAAGCACAAGCTAGCAATAATATAAGCAACATATTACCAAGGGTACACCCTCACAGATCATGGAACCAATAAATATAATAATTAAGTGACTGATGAATTGACCCAAACCTTACTATTATGTATCTTTTCAGAATTAGTTTCAACTCTCAATGGAAGATTATTACTAGAACTGCCAGCATCCACCTCTTTTTCTCTAGGAAATGCTGGCCCATCAAGCACATTAAGAAGCACGCAATAGCAATGGTCTGTATCTGTCAATACCTGCAATAGCAATGAAGGGACAAAGATTCTTTGAAGAATAGTACTTGCTTACAAAGCATATCACAAATACATTCCATGTTACCATGGGCGCATTACTACATACCATATAGACCCTTTGTACATGGCGTACATATGTATATGGGCAAGAACAACTGTATTTAGTATTTCTTCTTCTCATTGATAAAGGCACTCGCAGATTAAAAAGTGTGCCGTTTATATTTGGAACACAGCATGCAGAGATTAAAAGGGAGCCATTTTTTGTCACAAAGCATATCACAAAAATAACAACCCTATTCAGTATTTCTTTTTCTTCATTGATAGCACTCAAAGATTAAAAAGAGGACCTTTTTTGCACAAGGTCAAGGGGAACCATATTTTAACATTAATAGGAAAATCCTTTTTTTTTTTTTTTTTTGGTTAGATAAAAATCCAACTTAATAGGAAAATCTTTGACAGAAAAGAAAACGTTATAAACCACTAATCTGAATATGAAAACAAAAATTTTATTTTACAAAATAAATCAATTCCAAATATGCAACAATGGGATCCTAAACAGCATAAATGCATACTCTTTCAAAAGGGAAGAAGAACATTTACCACTGCATCAAAAGTGGAATCAAAATCATCCACTGCAAAACAGATGTCTGGGTATGCAGGTGCTGTCTCCACTTCCTAGATCCATCAAATCAAGTACATAAGTAACTGGTAATGAAAATTAACAAAATATATGTACAATTAGCTGACAACACCAAACTTGCCTTTTTTGCATCCAAATGAAAATTTACTCGGCTTGGAGATGCATAAACAGTCTTCACAACCTGCACAATGTCACATTACAAGTTAGATGATTAGATGCCTAAGCAAATGGATAAATTGATCCAAGAAAAGAACGAGTAATGAAGCTAAAACAAGAACTTCTAATTCAAAGAATAAATTAAACTGTTTGGGACTCTGCTATGAGATAGAGAGGAGTGATAGATCTTGTGTATGAGAGACCACTGGACATTATGAAACTCGATTTCTCTCTATCATCAGACACATAAATGAGCAAAACAGTGAATTCATAGTACACAAATGCAGCAAGTATCACACTTGATGCTCAGTCCAATTTTAAGCAATGATACACATCTTCCTTTCACCTCTATAAATACTCAACAACCTCAATCTCGTCTACAAACTAGTTGGGACCATTTGAATAAATCCTTCTCAATGACCATTCAGTCATTTGCCTCTTAAATATAAAATTTTGGCCATTTGTTCTTGCTGAAAATGAAAGATTATTCATCTGAAGATTCTAAAAGGATCTTAAGACAAGAAGAATCCTCCTAAATATTATCAACATGCCTACCATAAACTAAGACTAGAGTTACCTTGTAAATAGAAGAGAGCGAAGTACTTTGCCCGGCTTGATGATTTCTAAGCTTCCGGTGGCTGAGAAAGAGAGAGCATACTAAACTTAATCATTATGCACTGTACTAAAGATACAAACAAGAAAAAAATCCTCAAGCATCTAATAAGTATAACATTTGCTTTAAAAAATATCAGAATGATAGTTCACCAGTAATGGAGCGGGGTGTAGAAAGAAAACTGTATCAGTTTGAAGTATAATTCAGCAATAATAATGGTAAACTTTTTCTACATAACCCAAAAACACAAAAAAGCGAACGGGGAATTTCTACTTTTCCAACTAGATCATAATGCCACCAAGGTTGGATCTTTTCATTAAAACTCCCAAAATGGAAACTTAATTCAATCAGAATGCAAGTGGGATTCAAGTAATAGGATAAACTAGATCAGACACACAAAGGAAATGGAAAAATTACCTGCAGATTGCTACTGTAACAGAGTACTTAGTGTGTGCGATCATGTTCAAGTAAAACGATCGCCTCCAATCCACCTCAGCTAAACTTTCTCCCATTAACAACTTGTCCAACTGGTTGATAAAAGTAAACAAAGTAACTTTTCATGAGCACCATACATAACGTTTCTGGCATTTCAACAAGAACATTAATGAGAGTTCAAGCTTCTATTATTTGACGTCGATTTTTACCTCAGGTGCCCACCTGCGTACAAAGTAAGGAGCAGTTTCTTCGTCGTCATCGTTGAAACCCACTCTCTTCGACATCTAAATAACAGTAAATAACCAGAATAAGCAAAAATGAACTAGAAGAAGCAACAAAACTACAAATTCCATACCGATTTTCGCACGAAGAATATCATATCGTCATCTTGACGTCCTCTCGACTCCTTACCGCGAATGAAATACAAATCGAAGACGTCGTGCCAAAATCGACGGTCCATTACAACGTGGGAGGCATCCTGCTCCTCCACCACACTCTTCCCTAATAAACTCGAGTGCTTCTTAACCATACTCAGTAAGTCATACCTGCCCAAAAAAAAAAAATAGCAAACAGAATCAAATCAATCAAATTTCGAATTGACATTACCAACTCGGATTCAAAATATGCAAAAGGAGAAGAAGGAAGAACCTGGAGGGGGTTTCTTCCCCTTGAGCAAGCATAGCTTCCGCTTCTTCTTCCGCCGGCGGTGATTTCTGGGGCAAATTACGCTGGAAAACTGGCGCGAGGGATGGGTTGATCTGATGCGGTTCGTAGGCTCGTTGCTGTAATTTTGAGAAGTTACAGACGTTGCGTCCCGTGAGAGTCGACCGGAGCAACTTCCCGATGAGAGACAAGTATCGATCGAGGCTTTACGCTTGACACGTGGCAGTATCTGTTGAGAATCTGAAAATTCATTTTGGTGAAGGCCCTTAGGCCCAGTACTAACGAATTCTATTGGGTATTGAATTGACCCATTTCGAAGAAATTTTGGGCCATATATGAAGTATATATTGAAAATTAATTATTACTCATAAGTTAAAAGGTCAATTGGTTATAAACTTTTATAAAAAATATATTTCAATTTTAAATGTTGGATTTAAACTTCTCTTTAAATTTATACTCTCAAAAAGAAAAAAAAAAAAGGTAACTACCTATTTATAAGTAAATATCAAATTTAAGATTTGAGTCTTGAGTTGTTAATTAAAAAAATTAATTTTTTTAAATGTATTAAATTAATATGAAAGTTATGCTCCTAAAATTACTTAAAAAATTAATTATAAAGTACACAACAATTAATTTAAAAATATTTTTTTTGTAAATAGCGTAAAGTCTTAAAAGTTGAAAATTGAAACTTGGCATTTTAAAACTCCTAGTGCGGTCTTAATTTCCAGCCCCTGTAGAGGGAGAATGTGGATTATTGATTTGTATATATTGCTTGTTTTTATTTGTGATTGAATCAAAATTGTGTGGGTCATCATGATAAACTTTTTCTCTTCAACCTAATGTTTTTAATAGGATATTTATTGATGTTTTAATTTTTAGCATTACGCTTGCCAATTCACTTGGAGTCTACTCAATCTTATTTATGGTCAATGAAGTTCTAATCTTACCAACTAAAGTTTTGGAATCATCTTCGGAAGAAAAGAAAGAAAACCTACCGGATGTCTATTACCTATTGTCATGCACAGTTTTTATTATTATTTTTATTATTATTAAAAAAGACGACTCGAAGTAGAGAGAAGACGAAAAATATATTTGATATCAAATATAAAAAAAATGATGATAATTAATTAAATGATAATATTTTAAGATCGAAAAAAAAGAGAGAGGAGAATATTGCTACAATTCTCATACTACAGTCGGCATTTTGCTTGCATTTTGGTGGATTGATGTGCTAGCTTTAACATTACGAGATCCAAAAGCTCTTCGTTATGGTAAAGCCACAAAGGAAAGCTAAGCTTTTAAGTAAGAAAGCCAACAAATTAAATAATTTAGTAATAATTATTTTATTTAAAATAAAAAATTTTAAATTTAATTTGCATAGCATATAAATAGAATAGATTATGAAATATAAGAAGATTGTTTTTTATTATGTAATCTAAAAAAAAAAAATTAAGCAAGAAATATATATGAGTATCAATCTTATTTTTAAAAAATAAATTTTTAATTGAAAAAATAATAAATTTTAATTAAGATTTTAAAAAACAATCTACCATTAGATTAAACGCTACTACATATATTCTTATAAATTTGATTGAACCTTTCTAAACCTGTTCATCCAATGTTTGAAAGGTACTCATAACCCTAAAAACATTGGATTCCGTGGTTAGGAAAAAAGACAGAGAAAACAAAAGTAAAAGAAACTTTGTCCTACAAACAACATTATGGTAACCAAAGTTGGGGACATCCTTGCAAATCATGGCCAAAATGTCTTCTTTTTTTTTTTATTCACAATTTAAAATAAGCTTTTCCGCAGCTTTGTTTTTCCTTGAATTTTCCTAGTACCTAAAATATCACCAGGCATGCTGATCACTATGATTATGGAAGCTGTAATATAATTTACCAATAAAAATTTTCATTTTTCAGTATTCTTCCTTAGTTTTGTACGTGGTCTAATAAACCCAATGATATGAGGAATTACATTATTATTATACTAAATTTAGAATCATTTAATATTTACTAATAATTCCAAAATAAAAAAAGAAGTTTTACATAAAATTTGGATACAAATATTTAGTCTATCAAGTAAACGAAATTGTTTTACATAAACCATAAAAGAATTCTATGATTTTAATTAAACGGATACATACTAATTCATCAATATTGTGTTAGATGAGCTGAAAGATCTGATCTACATCTAATTATCATTATCATTCCCAAAATAATAGTATAATAGATCAAACATCAAAAACTAATTTAATTCTAAGAAAAAAAAAAATGAATTCTATCATTCATTTACAATTCTTTATAATTCAGTGAAGATAAGAGAGATTCGAAGGGAAAATTTTCTTATTTTTTTCCATTCCATATATTTATATTTATATATTCATAAAAATAGGTTCAAACAAAATTAAACTCCTGCAAATATCAACTCTTCTTGTTTGGCATTTCCAATCCTCCCCAAACAACCCCACCAAACTTTTTTCACAACCCCATCACAATATAACTTACCAGAAAATTTTTTTTTTTTTTTAAAGGGGAAAATTAAACTTCCTCGAAAGCTTCGCCTCCGGTCTTATTATTCGGTTTCCCTGTACGTCGCCTGTTGAGAGTGGCGCCGGCGGCATCCTGCCTCGTGTAATTCCCGTCGTTGTAGATCAGCGGTACGTCGTTTGCTTCGTCACCGTCTTCCTCAGTGGCGATGCGGATGCAAGAGCAGCGTTCAAGTGAGGCGAAAAATGCAGCGGCGACGCCGTTGATGAGCCACATGGCGACGCCGTCGAGCTTGCCGCACGATGGTGAGCCGTGGTGGGTGGAGGAGGTCCGGACCTTGGGCTCATGGTTGGTGGACCGGAAATTGAAGAAGCTAGTGGCTGCCATGGAGTAGAAATGAAGGCTGAAATATGGCCACGATCGAAAAGATCAGAGAGGGTTGAGGAAGAGCTCAAGCTGTGTTCTTTAAGCTGCGAAAGGAGGTTCTGTTAAAGAGGTCCATAATTACAAGTCTAATTCCATCACATGCCCTTCACGTTCGGTGAAATTACAAACCTGCTACGTTACCTTGAACTTCCCTTTTTATGTTAATCTAAAATGTCAACAAAATCTCTTACTATAACGTTCAAATCTTGCAATAATTATTATTTTTTTATTAACCGTGTAATATTCATTAATCATAAGTCATATTAAATCTCATAAGAAAAACTTCCTGAACATATCTTTTTTCGTTTATAAAAATAAATCTCTTTCTATTCGAAACTAACAAATTGTTGGTGTCTTGCAATAATTATATAAATTTTTATTTTATATTTTAAACTGTAAAATTAAAATAATTAAATAAAAAAAATTTAATAAAAAAGGGTCTTGAATGAGATTCATCTCTAATCCAACAATTACTGTTATATTATTTATATGATCTAAATTACACAACATATTTTCATAATTATATAGCATCAAATGAGTATTACATTCATACTGGTTTATACTTTTCCATATATAAAAAGTTAGTCATATTATAGGCACTTGGGATTATAAGATTTTATATTAGGAAAAAATACTATGTATTAACCATTTTTTAAAATGTAAAACATATTGAAATTAGTTGTATAGATATAATTAATAATTGATAATTAATAAACAATATTAGATAATTTATAATTGTTGTTAATGCAGAGGATACAATCTCTTCAATTAAAGTCAATGGTAGATAATTGTCATTGAAACGCAAAAACAAATGCCACTCAAAACTTCTAGGAATTAAGTTAGTTTATTGTTTTTAAGAAAAATTTGGTCAATTGTAATATAAATAAACTTTAATA